TCATGCCTCTCAGGTTTTACTGCTCAATTCAATGCTATTGAGCTAAATCACTTTGTTTCTGTTTTTTGACACAGCCTGCATGAAAAAACTGGTTTCACCTTCAATCAGATGTAATTTACCTTAAAGGGACACTCCAGGGTGCCAACTCCCACTACCATTAACCCTGCAAGTGTAATTATTGCAGTTTTCATAAACTGCAATATTTACCTTGCAGGGTTAACTCCTCCTCTAGACAGCCACTAGAGGGCACATCCGGGTTCATAGCACATATTCTGTGTGCTATAGTGTCACTGGACGTCATCACGCTATGTGAGAACCTCCAGCGTCGCTGAAATCCCCATAGGAAAACAATTTTCAATGCTTTCCTATGGGAAGGTCTAATCCACGTGCGCGGCATTGCCGCGCATGCGCATTAGGTCTCCCCCCTTTGGCGGCCATGCATACGCAATAGGTCTCCCCCAACGGGTGACGTCGGCGGGAGAGGAGCGTGGGCAAATCCTGAACAGACGCTGGATACAGGTAAGTCACTGAAGAGGTTTTAACCCCTTCAGCAACTTGGGATGGGGGGTGGGAGGGAGAGGGGACCTGCAGTGCTAGGAAAATGGTTTGTTTTCCTGGCACTGGAGAGTCCCTTTAAAATTTTTATCTCTTGCTCTGTAAATTGAACTTTAATCACATGCAGGAGACTCTTGCAGGGTCTAGCAAGTTATTAATATAGCAGGGGATAAGAAAATCTAAATTAAATAGAATTGCAATAAAGGAAGGATAAACATTAGGTGACTCTTTACAGGAATTGTTTAGGACAGCTGTGCAAGTCACATGCAGGAAGGTGTCACTAGGGTTAATAAACAAAGTGATTTAACTCCTAAATGGCAGATAGTTGAGCATTGAGACTGCAGGGGCTGATCAATACAGCAAAACTGTTTCAATAAGCTAAAGTTGTTTGGGTGACTATAGTGTCCCTTTAATTGAAACAACCATTATTGAGTAGAACAATAATAAAAATTATCTGAAGCACCGAGGGCACAGTATTGTGCCAATTCTACACCATGTCATCATATTCCAATAAATACATATAGCAGAACCATTGCTCTAGTTATAAATACACACATAGATACCACTTGTAAATTGAATTTCTATTGCCTGATGTTCCCACTGGACTACTCCAGCCTCGAGCTCTGCACCTGTTGTGCAGGCTGCACCTGGGGCCATTCAGGACACTCATTAGTTGTTTTCTCTTGCTATTTTCAGCTCTTTTTTTTCTGTGTATAAGCATCGTAGGCACATGTTTACCTGCGTGATTCTAGGTATATATTCTGATGGTTAGGTTGCCCTAGTTTAAAGGCAGACTCCAGGCAGCTGAGCAAAAGACCTGCATTTTATAAATCATCATGCCAAAAAATGGTAGAATGTTCATTCATGTGATTAGAAATGTTTAACGCCCTCCCTCCATAACACATGACTGTTAGCGCTTACCTTCTTGTCTTGTGTTAAACCGAAAGTGAGAGGCCATGATGGAATGTGGTCCATTGTACTGTTGCTAAAATAAAACCATCCGACCAGACCCAACTTGTCACCATTAATGTTCCTAATACAGCATCCATTCATGGTCAGTAATTCCATCATAACTAATAAATAGGAGATAAATAAAATATTAAGCCACAGGAAATAAAATATTAAGCCACAGTAACCCATCTGACCAGACCCAACTTGTCACTATAAAATGGTTGCTAAAGCAAATAAGGTGTCTTATAGCCACAATTCTGTCAGAGGCATTTTTGTCTGTGTGCATTGACTTTATATGTTGAGTACAGATTAACCATTTGATTAGTTGAAGGAAATAAAAGTAATTATTAGAAATTCTGCAGTTATTCCATTTTTCTATTTGTTTTCACTTGGCTACCATGATCCCGAAGGATCCTGTCCAGGGATTTGTCCCACATGAAATTTCCTGTTGTGGGCAATAAATGCTGAGCATCGTAACAGAGATCTGGCACCCTGTTGGTTCTACTGCCTGCATAAGGCTCATGTTTTTCCTTCATTCCCAGCCGGATCTAAACAGCAGTTAGCGTAGCAAAATATTGGCAGTCGCACTGGGCTGCTTTGCGCCTACAAGTGAAATACGGGAATTCTGCTGAATTTGTTTTACTTCCAAATTCTGCACATAGTGCTACACTAATTACTGGAGCACATTCCGGATGTAGTGGATCTCTGGTTTGGAATCTAGAACATGTTTCTTAACTTCTTCCCTTGCCAGAGTGCTGGTAGCTAAATGCAAGGTTACATTGAGCATGTTTTCTGGATTTTCTTATGTGACGTGTTCATTTGTACTTAGTGTGAAAATCTCTGGCTCTTTACTAACACTGTTTAATGGAGAACAAGAGTAGAGTGGCTGGAGGATAGTGGGTACCAGTACTAAGGCAAAGAGTTTTTAAAAAAAAACAACATTTCCAGTATTTGAGAAGAGAGCTTGAGGCGTCATCCTGGCCTGTGCTAGAGAGTGGCGGTCATAATGGCACATTTTGGTATTTTAGGATAATGAAGTATTAGTAGAATGAAAAAAAGGGTTTGGGATTTTTTGTATGTTTGTTTACAAATATATATATATACATATATATATATTTTTTTTTTCCATCATTTGCTTTGAATGCAAAGAGTATGCTGGCATCCAGTGCAAACTGATATAACGCATAAGTAAAAAATGCCTGACACATGTAGAAGTACTGATCTCTCAGAAGTACAGCAGAGCTAAATGTGCTTCAGGAAGTGTATATTGAGGCGAGATATAATGGTGAAATGGATCTGTAGAACTGAAATGAGACAAGTCTCTATTTTAGACAGGGCTCTCAGCAGTTGGAACTCCGTTCCCTTAAAGGGACACTGTAGTCACCAGAACAACTACAGCTTAATGTAGTTGTTCTTGTGAGTATAATAGCTCCCTTCAGGCATTTTCATGCAAACACTGCCTTTTTTTAAGAAAAAAGGCAGTGTTTACATTGCTCCTAGGGACACCTCCAAGTGGCCACTCCTCAGATGGCCATTGATTGGAGGGGCTTCCTGACTCAGGGATGCACATTAAGCAGCCCTGCCATTTAGCGTCCCCATGCTCTGCATGGAGACGCTGAATTTTCCTCACAGAGATGCATTGATTCAATGCATCTCTATAAGGAGGTCCAGATTGGCCAAACTAGCATTTGGCCCCGCCCCTGAGCCAATTCTAGCCAGTGCAATGCTTTCCTTATGGGAAAGCATCGGATTCTCAAAAAAGTCGTCCATTTTGATTGTCACAAAGGGGGCGGAGCCAGCACCGGCAGACCCCCGCGGTGCTGGAAATAAGGTGAGTTTTAAGCTTTTATAGGGGGCAAGCCACCTAAATGGTGGGTGTAGCACTATATAGGGTCAGGAATACATGTTTGTGTTCCTGACCCTACAGTGATCCTTTAATATATATATATATATAATATATAATATTAATCAGTAGGCTATAAAACTGATTTTCTAACTGATACACAGACTTTGCCAACAGTATGGCATTTCAAGATTTGTTCATTAGAAATATATTGATTTAGCAATATCTGCCGGTAATACCTAAATATTGTGTGAGATAGATCCCACATGATAATGCATATTACAAATTACTACAGTATAAAGCACCGTATGTTAAAGAGAGCAAATAATAGTTACTGCTTTTAGAGACAGAACAAAAATAAATGAAATTATAGTTGTAGTAGGAGCTGGCTAATTATTGTTGTTTTTTTAAAATCCATTTAAAGGGAACCTATAGTTCTGAAAATAGCAAGGATAGGTTCACTTAGAGTGAAATAATCACTATCCACCCCCCTCTCCAGTGGAAGCCTGACCTGTAGCAGGTCCTTGATGGGGACAAACATGTAGAGATATGGGAGGCAGTCCTCTATTTGCGAAATTGTCATATGAAAACGTTTGTAAGACAGTGTTAAAATGGTATACAACCCCAGGGAAGCTGTTCTACATGGGGAAAGCCACCACTAATTTGTGTTGGAGAGGATGTGGTGCCAAAGGCACATACATTCAT